AAAATGTGCAACAATTTTTGCGTCCTCAACTGGCACGAAAATCTGCTAGCATTATATAAGTGCATTTTAAGAAAAAAAATCATAACTCGAAAACGACGAATTTTAGCATATTGCTACTCGTATTGAAAATAGTTTATACTATTCCCTTATAGACAAAAAAGTTTGAGAAAAAAATGTGAGATGTGGCAATTTGAAAAAAAAAAAATTTACAAAAAAAAATTTTTGTTTATAAACAATAATTAATTATTAATTAAATTACTGATGTTTAGTTCACTAGATCGATTCAGTAGATCAATATCTGCAATTAAAAAAAAAATCGTTAAAATCCTTGCTTTTTTGCGGCAGTTATAAGCGATTTCATCAAAAGTTGCTATTAAGAGAGGAAAAAAGAAGCGTCCGTACTCAAAAAGAAAAAAATTCATTATTCGAAAAATTCGCATTTCTGAGCAAAAAGAAAAAATACGTGTCTCGTTAAATTGTTCAAGGAACAATCCCTGTGACTTTTATCGCAAACTTAAATTCACTTTCCCCGGCCTGGGTGATTTGAGATGGAATGAGCCTCATATAAGTCGACCTTCAGAAGAAGGGACTCTTCCGACTCTTAACTGAGCGAGAGTAGAGGCTCCTTAATGACACTAAATGTTTGGGGGGAATATGCATATTCATACAACCATACAACACCTTTGGATACACGATCGTGTAACCATTGGACATGTTAGCAATTAAAAAATCTGCAACATTCTTAAGAGGAACAAGCTGGCGTTTTGTGGAAAAGCAAGTCCCTGCCACTCGTCCAAGCCCCCAAAATATTAATCAGCCTCATTGCGAAAGTCGACAATTAGACTAAATTGAACGACTCGACAACATTGGCATTGTCTACTGTCGTGCCAAAATAAATAAACGGCGAAAATCATCGAAAACTATCCATTAGTCGAGTCAAAATGTTAGGCAATGCAATGCAACTTTCGATACGACTCGACTCTCAAAAAAAGGCTTGCACTCGACACGGCAATCACTGAGTCTGAATATAACTCTTTCTCGTTGCATTGGCATTAAATGAGTACGTCGAAAATCGTCTCTGACGAAATCTCCCATCATTCCCTCGAATATTTTGAGTTCTCAAAAGAATTCGCCTCTAAAATTGCTTTCTTATTATAAATAATTTTACTAATAAAGGAACTTCGCGGTATGTATGTATGGTTGTACTTGAAACAGAAAATTTTTATTCATTACTGATGAAAAACGCAGTCGAACTGCTACAAAT